TCATTTTGAATTAATTTATTTAAAAAAAAGAAAGAAACAGGTCAACCACTAGCGGCATCTTTTAAGAGTCACTGGCAGTTTTTTTGACAGTTGCAAACCCATCCGTTGCGCTACAATCGTTCACACCTACAGGGACTGAATCGTTTCATCTGAAGGCGAAGGTCGGCATGTTCCTTGGGAGTGCACGCACCGGCACCAACGGCAAAATCAGCATCCATCTATGCTCTTAATACATCGTTAATTGTAAATCGATACGGCGTGTAGTTTTTATGTATTGACGATTCGTGCAAACATTTCCAATTCACATTTCTGCCCCCTTAAAAAAACTGGCATAAAGTCCAGTTTTAAGACTGTTTGACAAACAATGCAAGCTGAAAAAGAACCTAAAAACTTTAACTTAAAAATCAATCTCGCCACGCCATCGACACGGTAGAAACAATGTCTCATTTTTTGAGAGAAAAAGGAAAAACTTTAAGGAACTCCCCTGGCTTGACACACCTCGGATTTCGAGAAGTCTAGTGAAGGAATGTGGTATTTTTCCTCATTTTCTGTGAATATTCCTCAAAATTTGAGGCGAGATCGGAGGACTCTTCCTGTAACACTGGAGTTCCTTAAAGTCTTACCTTTTTCCTTAAAAATTGAGGCATTGTTTTTACCGTGGGGGCATCCTTTAAAAGTAAGTCACAAATTGTTCTTAGTTTTCGTGCCGGAGGGTAACACTCTTTTACGATGTATTATATTGTAGCCCAATCGTTTTTCAATTAGAGGGAGTCAGTTTTCCTGTGATTTGTAGGTTTTGTTTAACAAATAATCTCCCGCACCTTTGTGTTACACAGGTCTACTGTCCCTTACGCAGTTCAACTCTTAATTTATCAGTTCAACCCAGACGATTTAATGACGCTTTGGAACGAGTATATCACGGTTTTAGTGAAAATCACCACCCGTGCCCAGCTTACACGGAATACCATAATGCTTGGGCATGTCTTCCTACATCCGTCATATCAGAGATGACAAAACTTACACCAGACGATTGTCAGTGGCTTGGCATCTGTGATGAAAAGCTTTGCCCCGTACAGGGCAAACAGATGGATAGTAACAGCGAGAACCACATGGGGCCAGAGAATTGTCATTTCATGATGCCTTGTTTCTTGTCCACGCTGCATTCTTCTTTCGCTGACGGCTGCTCTGTTGGTCAATATGTCGTCATCCTCATTCAAAGCCCCACCGAAGGACATCTAAACAGAAAACATACTAGTCTCTAAGCAAAGCGAAGATCAAGCTGCAGAGGGCTCAGGTGACATTACCATCGTGAGTCTGTATGACTGGCTGTCACAAAAAGTTTGCCTTAAAAATGTATTATTGCACGTGGTTATAAAAATGGGATGATCCTTGAGCGTTACTAAATCAGGAGGGTTTTCTGTGTGGATTATATCACGAATTGGCCAGGTTTGAAGTAACACGCCGTGTATTTAAAATTCGCAGTTTAACACTGTTATAAAAAGTTCTGGGATTTCACGGAGGAACACACGTGAAAAATACTGCCAAAGTCCTTTGGGTTTTCCCAAAAGACTTCGTAGATTTCACGACGTGTCCAGTCGAGCCTCGAAACATACAGTAGACCAACAACTCTCTACCTTCAATGACTGATTTATGACATGAACACTGAAAATTCTAACGCTAACGCGTTAACGGCCCCCTTTGATTTCAGTGTGGACATTGCCACAATAATTCTACAACGATTCATTACAATAGCTACTGATTTTGCTGTACACTGGAGCCAAATATCTAGGTAATTTATGTTGATCAGATTAATTAATGATCGCCTAAAAATCTTCATGTATACAGTGGCCACTCGCATAGCCGCGCCTCTCAGCTGCGCTAAGCTCTACTAGCCTGACCCCACTGCTCACCGCAATACACTGCTAGTGTGGATTCTGATTGTTCTCTGATTACTGTTCAACGGCTTTGAAGCTAAATAACACATACAGCACTTTGGCTTCATCCCTCGGCCGGCCATTTAGCGGAGATGGGGGTTCCTCACAGCCGCGCCGGCCTACAGAGCAGAGTTCTGCGATGGGCGGTCGGGCTCCGCCCGCCAGCCACCGAGCGCTCGTCGCCAGAGCGCCCGGCCCGGCCCGTCTCTTCGTCGATGGGCCGGGTGGCCGCCCGGACCGAGCCCGGGGGCGGGCGGTTGGTCCGCCCGCTTGGTTTGGCACCTTTTTGGCGTGGCGAGAGTAGCTGTCGGTCAGCGCCGACCCGCGCGGACCCCGCACAGGTGACTTCGGCACTGTTCGGATGTCCGGCCGGTAACTGCCTCCGCCACGCCAAGCCACAGCACCGCAGCACACCGCCTATGACTGTCGCTCTCTCTCGCACACCTCAGGCAGCGGGCGGAGCCCGCCCGCCCATATCAGAACTCTGCTACAGAGACGGTCGTTGACAGTGAATCTTTGCGCAAACTCAAAATCATTTGAACAGTGTTGTTAGTGGTGCACTGTTTTTATGTTTTAAGCCCACCTTTCTGCTTCTAAAAAAGCATTAAAGCTGGCTTATGCAACCGCTCTCGCGTCCGTCTGTCTTGTCCGACTGTCTGTCCGTCTGTCTTTCTGTGGTCCGTGTAAGAGGAAGGAGGTGGTCCAGAGGTCTGCAAATTTCAGGGTATCTTAGGGGTCACTCCTGGACAACGAAACGTCCGGTGCAAATCCTCGCAACCACCCCTATGGGGATAAAAAGGGGTAAAAAGAAATAGGGGTTGGTCCAAAAAGAACGAAAAAGAATAATGAATGGTCTGCTGAGGGGTAAATCGTGAAAGTAGAAAACTGAGGGCAAATATTTTGTCCGTTTAACTGTATCATGCACGGTTTGGGCGCTTGAGTGTTTTTTTCGACGAAAATACATTGAAAATGACCACGTTGCACATAATGACGTACTAGGAGGCTTCCAATCGTAAAATGGAAGAGGAAGTACCCCCCCCCCCCAAAAAAAAAAAAAAAAAACACATTCTGAATCAGGAACTACCCTCGGATTTGCCGTATCTTTCACTGTTTCGGCCCTAGAGGTGGATATATTCAAGGCTCGAACTTTCGAGCCTTGCGACTGACTGAATGCGACTGCCCGAGCAGTCGCGTGCCCGACTGCCGGGCTCCTGGGCGGCCCAGTCGGGCGCGACTGCCATTCAGTCGGAGTGACTGCCGTTCAGTCGCCTGCGACTGCCGGCTCAGGGCGTGGCATAGAGTAGCGCAGTGCCACTTCAGCCTCGAATGTAGGCAACCCGACCAACTTCCCCCCACCATGGCAACCCGCTCGCTCTCTGGCCAGTCGGTGCCCGACTGACGGTAGTCGCGTCAGTCAGTCGGAACCCCCGAAAGTTCGAGCCTTGGATAAATTGAAAACAATAGCAAGAAGTCGTTTTAGGACTGTTTGACAATTAATATACAATCTGGTTCACCTTTTTGAATTCTTGAGCAAAGCAGAAGGGTGGGGTGTAGTCACGGTGTTGTCCCGTTACAGTCTTTTGTCATGTGAAAGGAGCAAATCTCTAGGGCCGCAGGCCCCCCACCGGAAGTTAGTTTACCCAAATATGCAAAGTGATTGACCGGTCACATTATTTATTTGATTATGTTCTCCAGTACGGTGTTGCCCCGTTACAGTCTTTTGTCATGTGAAAGGAGCAAATCTCTAGGGCCGCAGGCCCTTTGTCGGAAGTTAGTTTACTTAAACATGCAAGTGATGTACCGGTCACATTATTTATTTGGTTATGTTCTTCAGTAAATTGCGAGACTGAAATGGTCGGGCCGCAGGCCCGACCAGCGCCGCCGGCAGGCCAAGCAGGCCCGGCCCCTGCCGAACGGAGTTGCCGGCGCAGCGAAGTGGAGCTGGCAACTGCGTTTGGCGAAAGAGCGGGCCTGCTTGTTAATAGTGGATAATAGAGGGCAAGGGATCGCCTCCGAGTCGCAGGTCTCACCCAGATTAGGGCGTCGCTACACAATTTCGAAAATATCACGATATCACGTGTATAATGCTTTATGCGTTGGGCAGGTACGATAAATCTCAGAACCCTTTTCTAAAACAAGGTAGATGTACGCCAGACCACGTCTCGCG